TCCTGCGCCCCGCCTGCTGCATGGCAGACAAGTGGCAGGTGGCGGTGTCGGTGAACGACTTTGTGATCAAGGCAGTGGCCATGGCGCTCAGTGAAGTCACCGAGGCCAACGGTGAGGCGCTCAGTGAAGTCACCGAGGCCAACGGTGAGGCGCTCAGTGAAGTCACCGAGGCCAACGGTGAGGCGCTCAGTGAAGTCACCGAGGCCAACGGTGAGGCGCTCAGTGAAGTCACCGAGGCCAACGGTGAGGCGCTCAGTGAAGTCACCGAGGCCAACGGTGAGGCGCTCAGTGAAGTCACCGAGGCCAACGGTGAGGCGCTCAGTGAAGTCACCGAGGCCAACGGTGAGGCGCTCAGTGAAGTCACCGAGGCCAACGGTGAGGCGCTCAGTGAAGTCACCGAGGCCAACGGTGAGGCGCTCAGTGAAGTCACCGAGGCCAACGGTGAGGCGCTCAGTGAAGTCACCGAGGCCAACGGTGAGGCGCTCAGTGAAGTCACCGAGGCCAACGGTGAGGCGCTCAGTGAAGTCACCGAGGCCAACGGTGAGGCGCTCAGTGAAGTCACCGAGGCCAACGGTGAGGCGCTCAGTGAAGTCACCGAGGCCAACGGTGAGGCGCTCAGTGAAGTCACCGAGGCCAACGGTGAGGCGCTGATGGGGCTGTGGTCAGGTCAATGGTGAGCTGGTGGTTTTCGTGACCTTGTGCGAGCTGTGTGTTACCTTTCCCCCTCTGTTTTCGTGCTGGCGCTGTGCTTTATACAGTCACAGTGACCTTCTTCGCTCGCCCTCACTGTGCCGACACACCTTTGCTGACCGTCCTTGCCCCCCCTTCTTGCCCCCCTTCTTGCCCCCCCTTCTTGCCCCCCATTCAAATCATTTCCCCCCGGCCAACCCCTCCGTCCCATCACCACGCCATGCCGCTGCCACCTCCGCTCACTGCGCTGCCGCACCTGGCAAGCACCACCTCTCTCCCTCTGTGCCACCCCGTGGTGGGCGCGCGCAGTGCATTGGGACGCCAAGAGGGCGCAGCTGGTGAGCAACTCCAGCATCGACATCTCCATCGCCGTCGCCACTGACAAGGTCCGCCGTGGGGCGGGCTCTCTGGCACGGAGGGCATGATGGGAGGGGGTGATGGGAGGGGGTGATGGGAGGGGGTGATGGGAGGGGGTGATGGGAGGGGGTGATGGGAGGGGGTGATGGGAGGGGGTGATGGGAGGGGGTGATGGGAGGGGGTGATGGGAGGGGTTGATGGGCGGGGATGATGGGAGGGGGTGATGGGCGGGGATGATGAACGAGTAGACCTGAAAACGAGTAGACTATATTCGAATTTGTATTCGAATTCGGACGAATTTCAAATACAAATCGAGTCTATGTGGCTGTTCAAACTCGCCAAAACTCGACTTCCAATATTCGACTCGAATTCGTATTCGCCCAGCCATAACTCGAGTACTCGTTTTAGTACTCGAGTTTGGACATACCTGGCTCCTACTAGCATTTAATTGCCTAGCATCAAAGGTCCTAATGCTTTCGACGCTACGCGATGCTGCTAAAAAGCTTCACTTGTCACTTGTACAACCCCTCCAATTTCTTGTGCAAACCTGCAAGCACGGCAACGCCCAAAAAACCGATAACAAACTCCAAGGGTAACTTCACAAAGCTTGTAAACGCTCATATGCCCAAAACTCGAGTGCATTCGTATTCGACTCGGACTCGACTCTATTCGACTCGAATTCGTATTCGAATTCCAAACACAACTCGAACAAATAATTTGTATCGTGATATTCGACAATTATTCGAATGTGGAACTCGAACTCGAATTCGTATTCGGTTCTTCAGGTCTAGTAGAGAGAGGGTAGAGAGAGGGCGTACACAGGGCAGAGAGAGCGGCGTTCACAGGGCAGAGAGAGGGCGTTCACAGGGCATCACTCTCGTCATGCGTGTGTGCCTCCTTCTCCTTGTGCCTTCATGCGTGTCTGCCTGCGTGCGTGTGTGCCTGCATGCGTGTGTGCCTGCATGCGTGTGTGCCTGCATGCGTGTGTGCCTGCATGTGTGTGTGCCTGCATGAGTGTGTGCCTGCATCCGTGTGTGCCTGCATGCGTGTGTGCCTGCATGAGTGTGTGCCTGCATGCGTGTGTGCCTGCATGCGTGTGTGCCTGCATGCGTGTGTGCCTGCATCCGTGTGTGCCTGCATGAGTGTGTGCCTGCATGCGTGTGTGCCTGCATGAGTGTGTGCCTGCATGCGTGTGTGCCTGCATGAGTGTGTGCCTGCATGCGTGTGTGCCTGCATGCGTGTGTGCCTGCATGCGTGTGTGCCTGCATGAGTGTGTGCCTGCATCCGTGTGTGCCTGCATGCGTGTGTGCCTGCATGAGTGTGTGCCTGCATGCGTGTGTGCACGGCTGCCTGCCTGCGTGCATCAGGGTCTCATCACCCCCATTCTCAAGGATGCGGACAAAAAGTCCCTCGGAGCTATCTCCAAAGAGGTCAGCCCCACGCCCCTGCTCCTCCCACCGCGCCCCTGCCACGGCCCTGCCACGGCCCTGCCACGCCCCTGCCACGGCCCTGCCACGGCCCTGCCACGGCCCTGCCACGGCCCTGCCACGCCCATCCATTTCACTGCACCGACCCTGCTGTGCCCCATCGCCCCCACCACACCCAACCACATCCCCCCTCCCCCCATCGCCGCTTGGTGGCCGCTCGTTGTCAGCTCCAGTGCTGCTCAAGCTACTGGGGAGGTGGCAGAAGCAGCTGCCTCTACCGGTTCACTTCAGATCTTTATCTTGCACAATCTCGAGCTGCCTTACCATCTCCATACCGTCTCCTACGAATTCCTACCATCTCCTACCGTCTCCACAGCCCCCACCACCGCCACCGCCACCTCCTTCCCCCAGCGCCCACTCCTCCCTCCATGCTTCTCTCCCCTTCTTCCCCACCCTTCTCCCCCCCCCACCGCCCGTGGCAGGTGAAGCAGCTGGCGGAGAGGGCGAGGGCGGGCAGGCTGCAGCCGCACGAGTTCCAAGGGGGCACCTTCAGGTGCGCCTAGGGGGTGTCAGCAGGTGATGCTTCAGGTGCGCCTAGGGGGTGTCAGCAGGTGATGCTTCAGGTGCGCCTAGGGGGTGTCAGCAGGTGATGCTTCAGGTGCGCCTAGGGGGTGTCAGCAGGTGACGCTTCAGGTGAGCTCTCAGGTATGTAGCCTCGGCACGAGAGGATCATTTTCCGGACTCTGTTGCCTCGTCATGGCAGCTTCTGCTTCCCTGCCTCTCCACCTCGTCTTCCCCTCGTTCGGTTCCATCCCCACTGTTTCCCAGTATGCATGCACAGCATGATGCATGGTGTCATTTACCATGGCCCGCCAACTCCATGCCCCCACCTGTCCTAACCCCCCCAAATCTTCACCCCCTCCCCCTCAACCCCAATCTGCCCCTACGGGTCCGCACTGCTCCCCTGCCCTCCCCCCCGTCCGCCATGCCCGCAGCATCTCGAATCTGGGCATGTTCGCCATCGACCGCTTCTCCGCCATCATCAACCCACCTCAGGTACCCTGCTCATGGGCCATGGGGCAGGGGGCATGGGTTGGCATGGGGCCATGGGATGGCTTGGGTTGACATGGGATGGGGGGGCATGGGGCATGGGGCATGGGGCATGACTGTCGTGGTTGAGTGTTGGAAGCCTGCACCGCATTCGGAAAGTGCTTCGTCATTCCCAAGGCCTCTCATTCCAACCCCTCAAGAGTGACCCTGTTTCCATGTGACCCTGTTTCCATGTGCCCCTGTTTCCGTGTGCCCCTGTGCCCCTGTGCGGCGGTGGCAGTCCGGCATTCTGGCGGTGGGCCGCGGCGAGAAGGTGCTGCGCCTGCCCTCCGAGTCCTCTGCAGGTCGCTGCCCCGGGCGGGAGGAGGGAGTGGTGCACGTGTGTGACAGTAATGAGGGAGTGGTGCACGTGTGTGACAGTAATGAGGGAATGGTGCATGCATGTGACAGAATTGCGGAAACATTGCTGAGGGCTTTTGTTGGATGTGAGGTTGATGAAGGACGATTGTGGGCGGTGTGGAATCGAGAGTGCTCGTGACATAGTTCCACTTCTCCTTCTTTGCTCTGTCTCTCCCTCCTACACTTCGCCTCTCTGATTCTTCCTCTCTTTTTCCTCCCCACGTCTTCCTCTTTCTCTTCCCCCTGCAGACGGCCTGCAGCTGCAGCCGGCGACCAAGATGGAGGTCACTCTCTCAGCTGATGCGCGCGCCATCGATGCCAACACTGCAGGTGAGGCATGCCAGTAGGGAATGACGTGCCTTCTTGCAGCCTTTTCTTGCAGCCTGTTCTTGCGGCTTGTTCTTGCGGCCTGTTCTTGCGGCCTGTTCTTGCGGCCTGTTCTTGCGGCCTGTTCTTGTGGCCTGCGGCCTGTTCTTGCTGCCTGTTCTTGCGGCCTGTTCTTGCGGCCTGTTCTTGCGGCCTGTTCTTGCGGCCTGTTCTTGCGGCCTGTTCTTGCGGCCTGTTCTTGCAGCCTGTTCTTGTCCTGCTCCTTCGTGTTGGATATATTAGTGACTGGCCTGTCATGCTCCCCATTTAGAAATATATCCTTGTGAGCAGCCCACTCTACCCCTTCCCATTTCCCCCTTCCCCCCCCTCACCCCCCCCCCCCCCGGCTGGCGGCTTTTTGCAGGCAAGCTACTTTCTGCAATTTCGGCAAACCTTTCAGATCCTCGACGTCTGCTCATTTAGACTAGCTGCACTACGGAACGTGTTGTTTACATGTATGGTGGTTCCTGTTATTGTTAATCCCAAAATATGTGGTAAATAAAAGTAGGAGAAAATAAGAGAATCCCCTGTTACAGTTGCTCTAATCATTAGGTAACTTTGTACAGTATCTGACAGTTCTGAGTGTCAGACTTTGTCGGTGCAGCCAATGGGATTGGTCATGGCGGCAGCTCCCAATGCAACCCGTCTTGTCCATCTTCCCGCCATGGTTTCCAATCGTGCATCCAAAGCCTGCTCGCCAAGTGCGCGCAAGCACGAGCACCGATTGCATAACGACATTCCATGCCATCAGGAGCGGAGAGCCCCCTAGGCTAGCGTATCAGCGCGCACAAGCTCCCTTCCAGCTCCTTGCCACCGGGGTCCTTATCTTACAGGTAAGGTTTCGTTGCGACAGTTTTTGGATGATGCATGAATTCACTCCATGGTCGCTCGAGTGAACCTTTCGAACGCCCCTGGCCCGATGTCCACGAGCTGCTTCCGTCCATCCTCGTGCTCCGCGCTGCTCCGCGCTGCTCCGTGTCGTTCCGTGCGCCATCTCAGGCGGCGAGGAGGAAGCGGGGAGCGGGAAGCAGGGAGCGGCAATCGGAGCGCGATGGGGGCAATGGGGCGGCACGCGGTGACGCAGGAGGCGTTCGACGGGTTGGTGCGGGAGAACATGGAGGAGTTCGCCATGGCGGCGGGCGAGGCCGTGGAGGACGCCGTGCACACCCTCACGATGCAGGGCGCCGACCTCACAGGTGGGAGGCTGTATGCTTTACGACGCTGCTGGGGAAAACATGGAGGATTTCGGCATGCAGGCGGAGCAGGCGGTGGAGGATGCCGTGCGAACCCTCGGAATGCACGGAGGCGATCTCAGCGGATGGAAGGTGTAGGTTGGAGACGCGGGTGCGAGGGGGCCGGCATGGGCAGAGAGGACGCACTGCAGGATGCCCTCAACCCCTTGGAATGCAAGGCGCCCACCACACTGGTGGGGACGGCTCGGCTGGAGTCGCTCAAGTTAAACATGGCTGATGGCTGGCAGAGCGATGCTTCGGCAAACCTCAACTGCAGTTCGTGGGGAATGGCTTGCATTCTATTGCGGGGCGCTGCTGTTCTTCAACTCCTATGAAGGTCGACGAATGGCTACCACATTATGACACTTGATTTCACCCGTCCATTTTCCTCTCACCTCCAGGTCGACCCCCCTCTCAGGGATGGCAGCTGCTGGTGAAGCCGCTGCCCAGGCGGGACTGGTTGCCCCTGCACCCTCTCACGTGCCCTGCGCGGGTGATCGTCCGCCCGCCAATGCCACCCTCCCCCCTCCCTTCCTCGCCCAGCATCTCCCTCGGTCCTCCATCCGCCTCGCTGTGCCCTCTCATCGATCGTGGCTGCGCGGACCGCCTCTCAGCAGCCGTGCACCTCTCCTGAGTTGCTGGGCCCGCTGACTGCCCCTCGTGCCCCACGGCCCAGCGCTCACGCTCCTCGAAACGCCCCTCACCAGCATTGCGCTGAGCCCTGCATCGTGTGACCTGGCGCTGACCTCTGTGACCTCTGTGACCTCGTCCCCCTTGGCCCTTCCACCCCGTGTGTGCGCGCGCCCAGGCATCGTGACGGCGTACAGCGCATCAGGGCAGCGCGAGGAGCACCTGGCCACACTGGCAGCCACGCAGCTGAGGGAGGCGCTGGCAGCGTGGGAAGAGCGGGGGGGGGGGGGGGGCAGGTGCTTATAGTGGCGCTGAATTCCATGTGAGTGTAAAGGGGGGCTGTTGGGGGCGGGGAAAGGGTGGGTTTGGGGGAGGGTGTTGTGGCCGGGAGGCAGCTGAGGAAGTCTGTGGCAGACTGGGGAAGGAAGGGGCATTTGTGGCATGCGAGGTGAGGAATGAGCGGGGAGGTCTGGCAGTTGCTGTGGCGCTTAGCTCAACGCGTGGGAGGGTGCAGGGTGAGGCACGAGTGAGGGAGGGAGGTGGGAAAGAAAGAGCGCAGAGAGAGCGAGGTTGAGGGAGGAAGAAGATGAGGGGGGGGAGGGTGGATAAATGAGGGTGAGAGGGAGGGAGAGTGTGGAAAACTGGCAGAACTAGAGTTTCGCGTCAGTGTGACTATGAGAGCACCTCCTCCATCCTTTTCTCTGTCCTTCTCAGTCCTTCCTTTCTCTCCCTCCTCCTTCGTCCCCCCCTCCTCTCTTCCTCTCCGCCCTCCTCTCACAGGCAGTGCTCCTCGCTCTCTCCGCCTTCAAGGGGGCTGTAGACACCGCCGACCAATCAGAGGGCGACACGTCAGAGGACAGGGCCAAGCAGGAGGGGGAGGAAGGGGAGGCGGAGAAGGAAGGGGTGAGGGGGGAGGGAGGTGGGGCAGCAGCAGCAGCAGCAGCAGCAGCAGCAGCAGCAGGGGGTGGGGTGGGGTCAGGGGATGCAGCGCGGGTGGCAGGGCGTAGCGACGGGCTGCACGCAGCAGTGGGCGCGCTGAGAGTGGCGCTGGGGGCGGTGGAGAGCGGGGCGGAGGGGGAGGAGGGAGGGGAGGGGGGGAGGGGAGGGCGAGGGGGGAGGAGGCCTTGTGTGACGCGCTGAGATGCATGGAGGTGATGCTGACGCATGGTGAGTGCACGCTGCGCATGTCAGCCCCTGTGCGCGCTGCTCTGCTCGTCGCATGCTGCAGATGGCAGGCCTTGCCATGCCGCACGCGCCACCGCGGCATCCCCATCTCGTCCCAAGTATTTCCCCTCCCCTCTTCTTGCTCGCCCCCTCCCCCCCCCCCATCCAGTCCCAGGGGCGCGCGACGACTTCTTCCGCCTGTCCGGCCCCTCTCTCCTCGCCTCCGCCCTTGCTGCCTCCTCCTCCTCCTCTAGCCTCCGCTTTTTGACCGCAGCTGCCTGCACTGTACGGGCAGCGTGCACGGAAAACGAGGTCATCAAGGAGGCACTTATGGAAGGAGCAGTCCACGTGGCCATCTTGAACGCCGTTGGCGGAATCCTCAAGAAAAAGGGCAGTGCTGACGTGGACACGAGCGCAGCTGACGTGGCAGAAGCAGGGAGCGCCATGTGTGCGTGCTGCGGGGCGCTGAGATCGCTCGTGACGAATGACGATGTGCGCGTGGCGGCGTCCAAGACGTTCACGAATGCGCGCACCATGGCGGAGGCCGGCGCAGCGGACGTGCTACTGGGCGCCGCTGCTGCCTTCTCCAACGATGTCTCCGTGCTGCCCTCCGTGCTCGCTGCTCTCAAGGCCATCGCTGTCAACGTGAGTGGCGGTGGGAGGTGGCCACGTGGGTGCACGTGACACACTGCCAAGCCCCACGGCAACCACCTCTGCTCTCCACTCCTAACCCCCCTGCTAACACCCTATCCATGCCCCCTGCTAACACCCTATCCATGCCCCCGCCTCCTCTCCAGTCTGAGGAGGACACCTGTTTGCCCATTTATCCCAAGCGCCTTATCCAATGGTTTCCACCTTTCGTCTGCCATAACTCCTCCCTCCTCTCGCCACCCCGCTCTTCCTCCCAGCCCTTCACCCCTTTCCCTTCCCCCCCAGGAGAGCATCTCTCGCAGCATAGCCAGACAAGCCGGGGTGCCCTTGAGCCCATGCCTCCTCCCTTCGTCTGCGGAGATGCCACCTCTCCCCCCTCCCGCACCTCCCCCTCTCCCCCACTGTTCTCCTCATCCCATCCCCCCTGCCCCCCCCCACCCCACCAGGAGGACATCTGCCGCAGCATCGCCAGCCAGGCCGGAGTGCCTCTAGTGCTGGGACAGCTGCGGGTGGCCCTCGCCTTGCACTGCTCCTCGCTTGCTGCGCCCTCTGCCTCCCTGCTGGCGCAGGTGAGTGCTGCTGTCCGGCCTCTCCGCTTTGAGTCGACTCAAAAGCTGTCCGGCCTCTCCTGCACACTACCCACCACCTCACACACGCTACCCATCCTCTCACCCGCACTACTCACTTCGCCACACACCCAACTCTCATCTTGCCCCTTGATCCCCGGCCCCATCTACTTGCCATTGCCCACCTCACCTGCTGTTTTCGTCCCCGCTGCACTCCACGGCGCCAGCACAGCCCTGCCCTTAGCATGTCTTCCCTCCTCCGTCTGCTCCACCAACCTCCCTGGACGTATCCCCCGACTCTGCTCTCCTGCTCCTGTCTTGTATCGCCAGCTGGCAGGCAGTGACGCCAACAAGGCGCTCATTGTGGAGGCAGGTGGCATGCCGCTGTTGGTGGACGCCATGAAGGCGTTCCTCCACCATGGGGCTGTGCTTCAAGAGGTGCGCGCGCATCGATTGGCAGCGAGGGAGCGGATGCACCGTCCTTGCATTGCACGCAGCCATGCCGTGAGCGCTTGTCCACCCACCCAGGTGTCCCTCCACGGGCATTCCCTTCCTCCGCCTCCTGTTGAGTCGACTCAAAAGTCACCCCTTCCTCCGCCTCCTCGCTGGCGCCGGCGATCGCCACTTCATTGCTGGATGCAACGATTTCACGGACCCTGCCGCCTCATGTGCCCGCCAAACCGCTTGCCTCGCCTGCTCGTGTCCGGCCCTCTCCTCACATTCCCCCTCGCCCATCTCCTCCTTGCGTTCCCAACCCCCCCCTCCGCAGCTGCACGCCCGCCTGGCAGCCATCACTGAGTGCAGCCCCTCCCATGCTCCTAAACCACTTCACCCAAACTCCCTTCGCCCCCCCCTCCCCCCCCGCGCGCCCCTGCAGCTCCTCGCGTGCATGGCAGCCCTCACTCTGCGCAACCCCGCACATGCGGCGGCAGCCGTGGCGGCGGGGGTGTTGGACGCAGCGGTGGACGCCATGGAGGGGCGCGGCGCCACGGCGGGCAGCCAGTGGCAGGCGTGCCAGGTGCTGCGCAACCTCGCAGTGCGCAACCCCGAGCACAGGTGGGGCCGTGCCTGCTTGGTAGGTGGGATCGTGAGGCAGTGATATCGCGCCAGTGTGGCAGGCGCTGCGGAATGTGGCTGTGCCAAGCCCTGCCCGACCAGGTGAGGTGGGCCTTCTGTGCCTCCTGCACCTCTGCCTGGCTCCCTGCTTTGCCTTCTCATCTTGCCTTCTCATCTTGCCTTCTCATCTTGCCTTCTCATCGTGCCTTCTGATACCCATCCTTTTTCATCTTTTTCTTCCCAATAATCTTTCCCCCGTCTCCACCATCTCGCATTGCATGCGACATCTGAGCATACTGCAACAATCTTATATGCATCAACCCACTCCTCCCCTCTCCCCATGCCTTCTCCCCCTCCCATCGTCCCCTCCCCTCTCCCCATGCCTTCTCCCCCTCCCATCGTCCCCTCCCCTCTCCACTCCGCACCCCTCGTCCCCTCCCCCACCGCTGCCGTGGTCAGGCCAATGATGGTGGAGATGGGGTTGGAGGCGCTCATTCGCAAGGTCAAGGCAAAGCACCGGTCGTGCCGCGACGTGTGCTCTGCTGCGCTGAGAGACATGGGCCTCGATAACTACAACCAGTGATGCGCTGTGCTGCTCGTACAGCACTACCAGTTGTAGACCCAAGTGGCCTGCTGCACCAAGAAACACTCGTACCAATGTAGTCGACACTCCTCCTGCGAATGCCTCCAGAAATGACGTTCTGATCGCTGCCCATGGCAACCGGCAAGCAAGCGCCCACGCGACACTGGTGGCGAGACTGTGAGAGGGTAAGGGACGGGAACTTGAGTCGGCGCGGAGAGAGAGACGTCGTACCGCAGATGCTTTCGATTGCGAGCCTCCGGATTCTAAAGAAGCTGCCTGGATTCAATCGGAGAGTGGGTGCCTTGTTTGAGAACAGATCTCAGGAGGAACATGGCAATGACAGCACCTAGAGACCAGGGAAACACAGGCATGTGAAATGATGGAGTGTTGTGGACAGGTGCATAGCGGGGCAGAGATGGGTTCAGGGGCCACGCGGCATGCCAAGACATCCAGCATGTAGCATGTTGCAGCCTGACGAGTGGCTAGGGACGTGCAACCATGACAACGGCGTAGGCTCGGTACGGGGACCATGCATGTGCCTAGCTGGAATTTGAAACAGAGCCTCACACGGTGTAAGGTGAGAATGGTAGAGATTGCTAATGAACAAGCTACATGATCTGCTGTGAGTCAACAGCAAATAATACACCTTCAACAGCGAGGCACAGCAAACATGTGTTTGCTCGTATGCCCCTCCGTGCTAAACATGTCGCCTCTACCTCTACCTGCACTTGCACCCACAGCCCAGGTCAGGTCGCGTCGCGTGGAAACAGGGCGTTTCACGGTGCGACCTGCAACCACACCCTGGTGAAGGACACACAGCTCCTCTGGATTCCTAAACTGCCAAGCACGGCAGCAGAAACTAAGCCCGTTGTTTACCCGCCAGCCGCAGCCAGCAGGGAGACGAGCCACTGGAATCCACTCATCGGGGAAGCATGCACCTCGCCGCCCTGGCGTCGCCTGCATTCGCCAACCAATCCGGCTCGCTCCTGCGCGCACTCACTGGGCGCGATGCACTTGCAACAAGTTCATGCGGACGCCTGCACGCGAGCCACCGCCCGCTCCTCCAGCCCACGCCCCTCCGCGCGCGCACCACAGGCAGGTGACGCGGGTCCACTGGCTGTGCCGCGCGCGCCTGCTGTTGCCGCGTCCATCGCGCCCGCAATCTGCGCAACCCCCACAGAGATGGCGACGGACTTAGCGTTGGCGGGCGGTGACACCAGTGCGGGGACAAGAACGCGCTGCTTCAGCGGGGAACACGCGGCGCTCTGCGCGGCGGCAGCTTGTGCTGCCTCTCCGCGCACGGCCTTGCGCACGATGCGTCCGCCGAAGGCGTGCAGCAGCAGCCAGGGGTGCGAGAGCACCTTGCTGGCGGACGGTCGTCGCCGCGGGTCTCTCTCCAGCATGCACCGAATCAGCCCGCGCGCCTCCGCCGACACCCGCGCGCCCGCCCACGCCGCGGACTCTTCCCCCAAATCGAGGCGGCCGGTCAGCACGCTCTCGATCGTGCGCTCCTCGTCCGCGCCCCAGAACGGCACGGCGCCGCACAGCAGCACGTGCAGCACGACGCCCAGCGACCACACGTCCGCCGCGCAGCCGTACTCGCCGGTGAACACTTCAGGCGCCATGTAGTACGGCGACCCCGCCGCGCCACGCGCGCGGCCGTCGCGGCCGATGCTGAGCGCGAGGCCGAAATCCGCGAGCTTCACGCGGAGATGGGGCGCGGGCTCGGGGACGAACGCGCTCTTCCTCGCTACGGGGTTCGTGCCGCTAGCACCAGCGGGAGAGAAAACTTCGGTTTTCTTCTCCACGGCTGGGCCATGGCTCTTGTCGAAGCAGAAGAGGATATTTTCGGGCTTGACGTCGCGATGCACAATGCCGCGCGAGTGGCAGAACGCGACAGCCGATGCCACCTGCATGAACACCTGCGCGGCCTCCTTCTCGGGCAGTCGCCAGCGTCGCACGACGTCGTCAAACAGCTCGCCGCCGTCGCAGAGCTCGGTAACTAGATGCACCTCGGTTTCGTCTTCGAACACCGCGTGCAGCTGCACGATGCCGGGGTGCCCCGCCACTTGCTGCAGCATGCGCACCTCGCGCCGCACGTCATCGCGCCCCGCCTCGCCGATTAACTCTCTCTTCTGCAGCGTTTTGCGAGCAAAGGCCTGGCCAGTCGCCTTGCAGACGCATTTACGCACGGCGCCGAATCTGCCGGATCCCAGGGGGGTGGCGGAGCATAGCACGAAGTAGTCGTCGAAGCGGCCGGTCGCGGTGCCGAAAATGGGGGTGGTGGAAGCGGAGTCCAGGCTGTAACGAACGCGCCTAGACCGCTCGGGAATGGACTCGGAGCCGAAAACGAGTTTTCTTTTCCGCGAGGTTGGAGACGGCTTGGAGGAGAAAGTATCTGCTGCTGCTGTGCTATTTCGCTGAACAGCCATGGTGTCTGCTGATGTACTGCCAGCTGACACGAGCAGAGGTTGAGGATTGGTTGGGGACGGCTACGATGGTGATGGCGGGTTGACAAGACACGTTCCGACGAGCTGCAGGAAAAGGAAGCCTGGGTTTTACGCATTTTGCAAGGGACCACAGCTTCCTCGCACCTGTTGTGGCAAAAGCTGTGCTTTCAGCTGGGGGTTGCATGGAGTGGAGGTGACGTCGCGGCTCGATCAAGCCTTCAATTGGCGATCGCATCACATCGTCGCAGTCGCACTGGGCAGGCGCTGTGTAGATGCGGTGCGTGCAAGCACCCCCAGGCCCAAAAATCTTCTTCTGCCCGTCAGTCCCTGGGGTCCCACCTGCGGAAAGATTTTGACTGGCTAAACTGTAGCGGGCAGAAGGGCTGAGCATTTTTGGGCATGTGCACCGACAGGCACTCCTGTAAATCGTGCCGATTTCATGGGACGCGTCAGCCTGCGACTGTGCGGAAGTCTGCTCTCTTTGCTAGAACCCCTTTCCGAGTCGCCTCGCCTCACTCAGCAAACTCACACTTTGCGCCCCGATGACACTTTTGAATGATACTTTTCCCGCGAAATCCAGTTTCAGTCGTTTCCATTGGTTGGTACCCTCATATTGTCAGTGAAATTACTGACGCACTGTACCCATCCGGATCCCGAGACTACGGAGCCAATAATGAAGAACGCTAGCGTCAACAGTGGTACAAATGCTATGGAGCAAGGCCTACGCTCACGGAGTGTCATAAGCGTTCATACTCGATTCACCAGGTGTAAGGAATTTCCATTCCTTACTGAGTCGGCCGCTACCGCGTACACCCGAACACTTCGACTCGTCACGTTCGGCCTACATTTTCGGCCCAACCTTTTCTCGAGTCGCGCCCGACAGCGTCGCCACATTGCCGAACCTAACCACGTCCCGAGGTTATCGCCCTATTACGTCCACTCCTATATAACCTCGTGCTTTCATGGCAATAGTGACATTGTATTCTCACGTTCTAGTACATTGACGTTTTCTAAATCATAACAGCTGGTATCAGAGCCCGACCTTTCTCGGAACCTTCCGTTTTCCCAGTTAGTTAGTTAAGGGTGGTTAGAGGGATTAACACGGCTGCACAGCAGTTGCCTTTGATCGTAAATATTTTTACGTCAACAACTACAGCGTGTGCGCTAGTTTCTGCCCCGTCCTGACCGCCATGGCCCGGTAGACTCGACGGTTGAGGAACAGACAACCTCGACAGCTGCGAAATCTGCCCGGGAAACAGTAGACCTGCAAGCATTAATGGAGCAGTTGAATAATTTGACAAGCGTAGTCAACAACCTCCGTGACGAAAACCAACGACTTCGCCAGGCGCAGGAAAGGCGTTCAGAGGAGCCGGGCGACGATGCACGAAGCGAGGCGGGTGAGCAGCAACCGAGTGGAGCTGGCACGGCTAGCGGCGACAGCCCCGCGCTCGACAAGTGGCGGCGTGAGATATCAGCAACCCGCTCCTTTCGACCCAGCTAATAAAGGCGTGACGGTGCGGCAGTGGATATTCGCCATGAATATCTACTTTAACGCGGCGGGCATCCGAGACGACCAGAAGCGGATCAGCCACGCGTTGACACTGCTGCAAGGGGCCGCTCTACAGTGGTGGAAGGTCATCGTCGACTCAGCGGCAACTCGCACAGAAGGACAGCATGAGTGGTCCGAAGAATTCGGTGACGAAGACGAGGCAGATTTGCTGTTTGGTGCAACTCACATTCGCACGTGGGCAACGTGGTGCGCAGAGCTTCGCAAGCGGTTTGAGCATGCTCCTGACTCAACAAAGCGCGCGAAACTTTACGCATGTGGAAGCAGCTGGGATCTGTGTCCGACTACACCGCGTCATTCTTGACGTTGGTGGATCGATGTGGCTACATGCACGAGTTGGAGAAGGTCGACAGGTACATGGGCGGGCTGAAGCCTGAAATACAGTACCAGATAAAATTACAACGACCTGCGAAACGGTTACAAGACTTCATCCAACTCGCCGAAGCCGCTGATTCGCTCACGAAGCCGAGACAAACTTCTACGACGGAGGTCGCCCTCGAGAACAGTACCAGCGCACACGATAAAAGGGATGGACGCAGTGGACATTTACGCAGTTGCTCCGCGAAATACGGGGCTATGCTACCACTGTGGCCGACCGGGTCACATCAAACGCAACTGCCAAGAGTTCATAGCCATCCAGAATTCTATGGGGAGAAGCCGGAGGAGCGACCGGGAAATGGGTCGCGTCAGTAAGTACCGGGCCCCTTACTGACGGGCAGGCTTCCTCGCCCGAACCACATAGTCCCCACCGGGTCGTGATCCCGACTGCTGCAATCGACCGGACCTGGACGAATAAGGGGGACGAAACTGCTGACCATCCTGTGTTGGTGGAGGGTAAAGTCAACGGGGTGTTGCTGAAAATATTCATGGATGGAGGCGCGAGTCACAGTCTCATACAGCTCGACAGGGCTAAGAAAATGGGTATCCCTTTATTAAAGTGTCTACCCGAAATCGACGCAAGATTGGTGGACGGTACACCGTTGGCTATACGGGAGCGGGTGGAGCACGTCAGTTTCCACTGCGGCGAGCACGTAAAATTTCGGATGGGGCTGCTGGCGACTACACTCGACGGATGTGACGTGCTGCTGGGACGGGACTGGCTACGACAGTACAACCCGAGAATCGACTGGACGACGGGCAGCTGCAGCATCAAGATCGATGGGCACTATCACGAATTACCGAAATGGATGGGACCCCGCATGCGAAGCACCCAAGTCCACGCGATCACCTTCAAGCGCGCGATAAAAGAGGGAGCAGCAGCATACGCCGTCGATCTTCGCGAAGTGACGTCGCCGATAACAGCGGAAGATATCACGAAGCTGTGTGAAGCCGTCCTCCGGATTTAGCGGTACTCATTCGAATACCCCGAGATTTTCCCGGACGACCTACCCGCCGGACTTCCCCAAGCCGACCCGAAGACCACCGCATCGAACTAGAACCAGGCGCACAACCGACAGTACAGCGACAATTTCGGCTCAGCCAACCGGAACTCGAGGAATTGCAGCAGCAGTTGGATTACCTCCTGACGAAAGGTTTTATCCGCCCAAGCACATCCTCATACGCCGCCCCCATACTGTTCACACCGAAAAAAGATGGCGGATTCCGTATGTGCATCGACTACCGTGCACTGCCGCATCACCATCAAGTCCCGTTACCCGATCCCGCGAGCCGACGACCTACTCGACCAACTTCGCGGAGCCAATTCTTCTCGAAAATCGATCTGCGCGGAGGTTACCACCAGATTCGCGTCGCCGCCGAGGATTGCCACAAGACCGCCTTCCGAACCCGCTACGGTAGTTACGAATACTTGGTGATGCCTTTTGGGCTCACGAACGCGCCCTCGACTTTTCAGATGACCATGAACGGTGTTTTCCGCGAACTCCTGGATAAATGCGTAATTATCTACCTCGACGACATCCTAATCTACAGCCGCAGCAGGGAGCAGCACTTAAAGGATCTTGATGCGGTCTTCACGCTGCTGCACAAGAATCGGCTCATCACGAAAGGGTCTAAGTGCGATTTCCTTAAGCAAGAGTTGGAGTTTTTGGGCACGTCGTCTCCACCGAAGGCGTGAAAATCGACCCCAGGAAAATCAAGACCATACAGGAATGGAAGCTGCCGACCAACCTCAAGGAACTCCAAAGTTTTCTGGGTTTTGTCAACTACGTCCGCCGCTTTATCCCCAATATGGCAGGGTTATCTGCACCACTAACGGACCGATTGAAGGATCGCGATTGTTTTTGGTGGGGTGAGAAGCAGCAAGCTGCATTCGACCAACTCAAAATCGCCCTCACGTCCCCCGCCCGTACTTCGCATCTCCGATCCCAACCGTCCATACGAAGTCATCACCGACGCCAGCGACATCGCCATCAGTGCAGTTCTACTACAGGATTTCGACGACGGGTTACAACCGGTCGCCTACGAATCACGGAAGCTGCAAGGCGCGGAGAAAAACTATACAGTGCACGACAAGGAGATGCAGTCCACGCGGACCTGGCGGTGCTACCTGACCGGAGCTGACGTCACGGTGCGGACGGACCACAAATCCTTACAGTACCTGCGCGCCCAACCGAATCTCAACCCACGACAGATTCGATGGCTCGATTTCCTCGAGTCCAACTTCCACTACACCATCACCTACAAACGAGGTGCCAATAATATCGCCGATGCCTTGACCCGCCCTACAGTCCATACCGCCGCGATACTAATCGCCCAGACCAACCCATTACTTACGGGACTATTCACCAACGGCTACAAGATTGATCCCTTTTTCCGCTCAGCCATCCATCAATAGCATACCACAGCCACGGGCCATATTTTTATAGCATGGCATTCTCGCA